ATATATATATATATATATATATATATATATATATATATATATATATATATATATATATATATATATATATATAATCATGATATTAATGGATTGATCTTTTTCATGATCGGGTCCCAACCCTTTTCTAGAAGTATATCGCTACCTGACCTCGAACACGACTTAGCGATGAAAGAGATGTTTCGAGCGCATCACGATGCAACAATAACAAGATACGAGTCGAGTATATATATTGGTTCCACCACGTCTCCATCCGATACATATAGTTGGTCCATCACAAGATAAATGAGATAAATGTGAATGATCTTGAGCATCAAACAATTGATTTCATATCGAACGGTGATGAGATCATCGTAACCTGATTGTTGGTCAATACATCATCTTGAATTTAACCGTCCGACCCTGCATCAAACGAATCCAGGAAAACAACCGTCTGTCACGGCGGAGGCACCTACCAGGGCACACTATCTTCTTATCGGTGGAAAGATGTGGGACTCGGAGGTACCACCATTGGGAGTCAGATCGAAATGGGCCAGTTCAACCATGGCGATACACCCAAAGCTACATGGTTCGCATCTGCCTACATCTCGCCGTCATCATCACCCAGGCGATGTGCACCCACCATCACCATCATTAATTGGGTGGTGCGTGACACATCCGCCCCATAACGATGATGATGCGCCATTACCCGCTACTTACCGTCCACACGACTCCCTTGTTGGGGCGAAGCTCGCGTCTAGATTACATAATATGTGGCGCTATTCGTGCCACGCTGCCCTGCTCCTGCTCTTCTTCCCTGATTAACGTATGCCTATGAACGTATAAATGTACATACACGTCACATCCTTCGAGTATGCTATTATGGACATGGGAACAGAATAGCTATGGCATTTCCATTATGTACACTGGAAGTAAGCAGAGGGACCGCGCAGCAATGGTTGCCATTTCAATTTGGAAATTCAACCTCTCTTCCTGTGCTTCTCTTACAGCTATGTATATGCACACTGCTCTCTCTCTCTCTCTCTTCCTGTGCTTCTCTTACAACTATGCGTATAAAAAGAGGGAGGGAGAGAGTAACCGCACCTCCACACCTCGTCCCAACTACTGACTGAACCCCATACCTTACCCTTCCCATCTCTTTTCTCTCAACCCACCATTGATGCCCTTCAATTCATGCCAACTACTCTCTTCTGAAGAAAGAGAGAAGTTCCACTGCCATCACTTACTTCCCCTACTTGGGAAAGACACTAGCTGCAGCGGCGTGTTTCTTTTGTTCTTCTTTTGCTTGCTGCATACTAAGTTGGGCTTGTCCGCGGGTGCATCGAGACCGTGGCCTGATTCAAAGGGGGTGGGCACGTTGTAATTATGTGTTATCAGCCGGATTGGATGTGATTATTGTTACTCTTTTTCTTCAATTTCGGGGCATAAATGGACCAGATTGGTGGGCGTTGGAGATGGAGTTATTGTAAAAGGTTATCCCGTGATCAATTAAGACTATCTTGAATTTGATCACTCAATTTGTCAGAGGGATATTATTGTTCATGGTTCAGTTGTTTAAAAATATAATTTTCTTTATTTCAGTTGTTAAAATAGATACTCTACCTGGTCAATCTCAATTGTTTTACAGAAAAGATTAAAAATGTCATGTTGTTTTTATGAAGACGATAAGCTGAAATGTATCCCATCACTTGTATATGGAGCAACAAAAACAAAATTTTTGATCTCGATAAACAATTCTACGATGTCCTTCGTATTAACATTTGACAAAGAAGCATGCAACAAATACTCAAAATTGGAATTCAATTCTGGTGACATATTTTCTTTTCCACATCCCGATTGGTTTTGTTTTTCTGGGTATAGAGTAAAAAAATAAAAGGAGCTTTAAAAAAAATGAGGTGAGGTCTAAAGCTAACGTTACACTCGAATAACACTATGTAATTCATTATTGTAATCCTCCTCGTATTTTTATTTATCTATCTTTATCTAGTGGATGTGAGATTAAGTATTAGGAATGTGCTTTAATTTTGTACGTGGATACTATGAATGGAATGAAATTAGAAAGTTAAATCTATGTTATGGTAAAACTTTCCTTTTTCAGCTATTTCATCATGCACAATATGTTTTTTTTTTGTTTTTTTTTTGTTTTTTGTTTTGTTTTTTTGCTTCTTTCTTTGGTTTTTCAGGTTTGATTTGATCACTTGGGCGGGCACATTGAGAGAGGTTGACTCGCTCAGGCTGGGATGACTGGTCTCAATTTCTTGAAAGTCGGCGGGCTCTGGACCTCCTCCTCCTCCTTCACCACCGCCGCCACCCAACCCTTGACTTCGTTGAACTCCGAGTCCGGCGACTTTGGCGGGTTCAGATAGAACGCCCTGTGCCTCGAGCTTGCCGCCTCTGACGACGTCATCGCCGCCGAGGTACTGCCGCTGCCGACGCTCCCGTCGTTGTGGTACCTCTTGTGCCCCCAGCGCTTTCCCCAACGGAAACGTCTTCAGGCACACCGAACACCGGTGCACCCTGTCACCGCCGGAGGACGCCGCGGTGGCGCTTGCGCTTGCCGTGGAAGAGCCCCGAGGCCGAGGCTTCCTCGACGCCGTTGCTAGGCTTCCGATGGCTGGCATTGTGCCCGCCCAGGTGATCGAATCAAACATGAAAAACCAAAGAAAGAAGCAAAAAAAAATAAAAAACAAAAAAACAAAAAAATATATATTGTGCATAATGAAATAGCTGAGAAAGAAAAGTTTTACCATAACACAGATTTAATCTCCTCATTTCATTCCATTCATAGTATCCACGTACAAAATTAAAGCACATTCCTAATACTTAATCACACATCCACTAAATAAAGATAGATAAATAAAAATATGAGCAGGATTACAATAATAAACTACATATTATTATTAGTCTAGACAGGAACTAAGATGACGCAAACAACACTCTTCTTCTCTAGTCATTCTTCCATAAACTGTCATTATAAAAATAAACACCATAATTAGTATAAAAATAAATAATATCAAACACTTAGCCATCACACAGTCGGTCACTCGCACTCGATGTGTACCATGAGAACCATTTTATAGACAGAACTGGCAACAGGGGGAGCCGCGGAGGTCCACCTTCGCATGTTTATCCATGTTTTTTATCCATGTTTTATCCATGTTTTTTCTGGGTATACACGCGACAACATCCACCCTCCCACTGGTGCAAGGAATCCAATAATGATGAAGATAAAGATGATGGAGTACGTGCCATGAGGATAGAACATTCTAATTGGACCTATAATGGAGTACGTGCCATGAGGATAGAACATTCTAATTGGACCTATAACACCCCCATGTGATTCCTATAGCGAATGACCTTCTTTCCTAAGGGCATGTCCAAGGACTTCCCTTGGGCAATAATTCTGGATAACATATATTTTTCACCGAGTGTAAGACCCACCATCCAAC